GAATTGGTCTCATTATGCCCCACAAATTGTCTCCTTCATCACGGACTTCCTCTGTTTATATTTGATCTAGTCCAGTTTCTTTTCTCATCTTTATTTTCTCTGATTTTTGAGTCTAAAATCATAGGTTCATAGTCCTTGATGGTAGAAAGGGTTTGTTGTAAAAATTTTCAGGTATCTCTTCCATTTTTTAAAATGTTTCTTGCCCTCTAATTTATTCTTTTTTTTTCCTTCTTTATAACACACATTTATTTATTTTGTGTGGCAATTTTCATTTATTTATTTATTTTTTATTTATTTTTTTTTTCAATATCTACTTCCACAGGATTTTGAGTTCCAAATTTTCACCCCATCTTGCCCCTCCCCCCACCCCAAGATGGCATCATTCTAAATACCCCTTCCCCTAGACTGCCTTCCCTTCTATCGCTCCCCCGCTTCTCTTATCCCCTTCCCCTTCAAATTTCCTGTAGGGCAGGATGGATTTCTGTACCCCATTTCCTGTATTTATTTCCCAGTTGCATGTGCAAACATTTTTTTTTAAACCATGTGTTTTTAAAACTTTGGGTTCCAAATTTTCTCCCTTCCTCCCTCCCCACCCACCCTCATTGATAAGGCAAGCAACTCTATATAGATTATACATGTTTAATCATGCAAAACACTTCCATAATAGTCATGCTGTGAAAAACTAAGTATATTTCCCTTAATCCTATCCCACCCACCCATTTATTCTATTCTTTCTTTTGACCCTGTCCCTCCTCAGGAGTATTTGCTTCTGATTACTCCCTTTCCCTTCTGATTACTCCCTTTCCCAATCTGCCCTCCTCTCTATCATCCCCCTATTTTCCTGTAGGGTAAGACAGATTTCCACACCTAATTGATTGTGTATGTTATTCCCTCCTTAAGTCAAATCCTATGAGAATAAGATTCACTCATTCCCTTTTACCTTCCCCTGTTTCCCCTCCACTGTAAGAGCCTTTTCTTTTCTGTTTTTTTTTTTGTGGGATAATTTACCCCATTCTACTTTTCCCTTTCTCCTTCTCCTAGTATATTCCTCTCTCACCCCTTAATTTTATTCTCCAGATATGACCCCTTCATTTTCAACTCACCCTGTGCCCTCTATCTATCTATCTATATCTATATATATGTATATCTATATATAATTTTTCCCCTTCCAACTACCCTAATACTGACAAAGGTCTTATGAGTTACAAATATCATCTTTCCATGCAGGAATGTAAACCATTCAACCTTAATAAGTCTCTCATGATTTTCTCTTTCCTGTTTACCTCTTCATGTTCCACTTGAGTCTTGTATTTGAAAATCAAATTTTGTATTTAACTCTGGTCTTTTCATCAAGAATGCTTGAAAGTCCTCTATTTCACTGAATGACCATTTTTTTCCCCTGAAGGATTATACTCAGTTTTGCTGGGTAGGTGATTCTTGGTTGTAATCCTATCTCCTTTGCTCTCTGGAATATTATATTCCATGCCCTGCGGTCCCTTAATATAGAAGCAGCTAAATCTTGTGTTATCCTGATTGTGTTTCCAAATACTTGAATTGTTTCTTTCTGGCTGCTTGTCATATTTTCTTCTTGACCTGGGAACTCTGGAATTTGGCTACAATATTCCTAGGAGTTTTCTTTTGGGGATCTCTTTCAGGAGGAGATTGGTGAATTCTTTCAATTTCTATTTTGCCCCTCTGGTTCTAAAATATCAGGACAGTTTTCCTTGATAATTTCTTGAAAGATGATGTCTAGGCTCTTTTTTTGATCATGGCTTTCAGATAGTCCAATAATTTTTAAATTCTCTCTCCTGGATCTATTTTCCAGGTCAGTTGTTTTTCCAATGACATATTTCACATTGTTTTCTAATTTTTCATTCTTTTGGATTTGTTTTACAGTGTCTTGATTTCTCATAAAGTCACTAGCTTCCAATTGCTCTATTTAATTTTTAAGGAAGTATTTTCTTCAGTAATCTTTTGGACTTCTTTTTCCATTTGGCCAATTTTGCTTTTTAGGGCATTCTTCTCCTCTTTGGCTTTTTGGAGCTTTTTTGCCATTTGGGTTAGGCTATTTTTTAAGGTGTTATTTTTTTCAGTATTTTTTGGGTCTCCTTTAGCAAGCTGTTGACTTGTTTTTCATGATTTTCTTACATCACTCTCAGTTTTTCCTCTACTTCTCTTACTTGCTTCTCAAAAAGCTCTTCCAAGGCCTGGGACTGATTCATATTTTTCTTGGAGGCTTTGGATGTAGAAGCTTTGGCTTTGTTGTCTTCTTCTGGTTGTATGTTTTGATCTTCTTTGTCACCAAAGTAAGATAATGTAGTCTGACTCTTTTTGCGCTGCTTACTCATGATCCTGGCCAATTACTTGAGTTTTAAACTCTTTGTTAAGGTAAAAGTCTGCTTCCAATGTGAAGAGTGTACAGTCCCAAGCTTTGGGGGTTTGTACAGCTGTTTTCAGAGGTTCTTCTAGGGACCTGTAAATTTTCAGTTCTTCCAAGGTGGTATGATAAGGGGTGAGGTGTTTCCTCTCCACAGCCACAACAAGCTTCACCACGCCAGCATTCCTCCTAGCCCCAGGACCGCCCCTCAGAACTGTGACCCAGATCCAAGGTAAAGCAAGAGATTCCTGCCTCAGCACTGGCAAAGAGATCGTTGCAATCACCCTCTGATCAGCCACTTGATTCCCCCTCAGTCTGTGGGCTGGAAACTCAGGAAACAGTCACTGCCCTGGGTTTCGCTCGAGACTTGCGGATGAGACCGCAGTTACAGACTTTTTCCACTGACCTTCTAAATTGTCTTTGGCGTTCATGGGTTGAGAAGTCTGGAAACTGCCACAGCTGCCGGTGATTCAGCCCTCTGAGGCCTGCTCCAGGGTCCCAGGGTCGCTGTGGCCTGCGCGCCCACGCCGAACTGCGCTGCTCTACACCCCCCCTCCCCCCCGACGCGATATACCTTTCCAATCACCCATTCAGGCTGTCTTTGTCTGGAAATTTGTTTCACTCTGTCTTTTTGTGGGTTCTGCTGCTTTAGAATTTGTTTAGAGCCATTTTTTTAGGTATTTGGAGGGCTTTGGGAGAGAGCTCAAGACAGTCGCTGCTTTTCCTCCACCATCTTGGCTCTGCCCCCTAATTCTTAAATACAAACAGTTCTCACTTTACAAATATTCATATTAGATAAATTCACATTATGCATTTTCAAATTCTAAAAGAATTCTAAAAGAACTGTTAAATGAGGATCTGATTAAGCTGTTAACTGCAAAGATTGCAGAAGAAAGAGAAGCTTCAGAACCAGAGGTGGAACCAGAAAGGTTTGTAACAAAACACTTGGTAGAAGCATTTCATCATTTGAGTAAATTTTTTTCTTATATTGAAAAGGTAGATCCAAATATTTCAAGAATTTTAAAAGTTAAAAGACTAATTGAGGATAATATTGTTTGCTAGTGTCATATATCTGATGAAAAAAAGAGAACCACTGTCTAAACATTTCTGAGAGCTTCATAAAAAAGTTGCACAGCCAGACATTCTAGGTACAGTGGGTGGGAAAAGGGCAACATACTGTGTACATAGCTATATTAACTTTACTGTACAGTACTATGCATATTTTGTCTTTAACTTTACCTTTCATTTCATAATTATATTTATTATCATGGTATGGTATTTAATATGTCTGTATTTTAGTACATTTTATGTCTTGCCTACAGGTTTTTTTTTGTATGTGCCTTTGTTATATAGTCTTAAGTGAAGTGGATAGGTAGGGGCAAATTCACGTTATATAAAAATTGTTTTAGGTAGAGGTCTGTGAAATAGTCTGCTTATGTAAAGCAACAACTATCTATACTTTTAGGATAACTTTGCCTAGTTGTGTTTCTCACCAAACTATCTTCAGACTTTTCCCCCTTCACTGCTTCTTGATGTTTTCTGATGCTACAGCTTTCCTATTTATATTGCTAGTTGGAAGTTAGGTATTTCACCTGCAGTAGGTATAAGCTATAAAATTTGTGACCTCCTTCTTCCCTTTCCACTATAAAATCCTACACTGAAAGAGGAAATGAGAGTTTCTATCAGTTTTTTCTTTACCTAACATTTTGTACCTCTATCATGAACACTTGTTTTTCCTCATACTTCTGTCTTTAATTCAGATTCATAATGAATTCTACAGAAGACACCAAACCTGTTCAGTAGAGATAGAAAGATCATGAATTGCTGTGACAAAGTTTAAAGGTTTGGAAATCAGTTAAAAAATGTATCTTTGAACATAAGGTGCGAAGATAAGGAATAGGGTAAATAACCTGGGATTTTTACTCCAGCAAGAGCCCTGGTTCAAATTCTGCCTCTGCCTCTGAGACCATGGCCAACCCAATTACACTGTGAGAGCCTTAGTTTCCTTATCTGTAAGATGTGGCTAATAATACTTGCAGTACATACCTCAAAGGGTTGTTGAGAGGATTCAGTTAGATAAATAAAGTGTGTAAAATGTTTTACAAACTTTAAAGGTATGATATCGTGCTAGTTGTTGTTATGATGTGCCATTTGTAGAAGCTAAGGACTGGTAATAAATTGAATTTCTGGTAATATTACATCCACATTATCTTTCTTCAGAACTCTTTTGTCCCAAACCTAATTGAGTTATCATTCTGCCTTTTCACTTGATAAGTGTACTCTACCTACTCTATTGTTACTTTTCCTGAAATTCCCATTTTAACATGTTTTTCATTTTTACACATTATGATTTGGTTTTCTTTCTATACTGGAGGTAGAACCAGGGGATATAGTTTCAAATCCTGGGTCTGTTCCTTTGTGCATGTGTGAATTTGGGAAATTCACTTAACCTTTTTGTCCCTGATTTCCTAATTTATAAATTATATATCCTTTCCTGATATAATGTCTTAGGTGTCTTCTACCTCTAAATTCTGTTCTTCTACTGTAATACTCAGTTTTTAAGAAAATGAGAAGTCTTGTAGAATTTTAACTTACATTGACTATAGTTTTTTCTTTTCTCAAGGATTTGGAATGCATTAACAGATAATTATGGTAATGTGATGCCAGTAGATTGGAAATCTTCTCATACCAGAACTTTGCATTTGCTCACCTTGAACCTCTCTGAAAAGGGGGTAAGTCCTGAATTTTCCCATTTATTTTCTGATTATCTTATTTTTGAAAATTGATATTAAAGTATGTGTAACTGGCTTAAGAATCCAAAGCTTAAGAATCTGAATTCTGACTTATATAAATATTTCACTGCTGAATTAGAAACAAATTAAGCTACAAATTCACAATTGTGCTCCACTCCAGACTTAAAGAATTTGGAAATATCTAGTATTGCCATCTTGTTCCATAAGCTATCACAACTTCTCATCCTGTGTTATTTATATCTGTGGACTCACATAAATCCAACTGATCTTCAAATATTATGTGGATAGCATTATACCAACTAGGCTGTTTATTTGTTATACCTTGCTCTTGTTTCCTGAACAGCCTACTTCCTTTTTTGTTCTTACATCTCTTGGTTGATCTTTTATGCTGCTTCTTGTTTATAGTATGGCATTGACAGTATAGCATAGCTTTGTGTCCTCACCATGTATTTTTCCATTGCCCTTTGAGTCACTAACAATTTTAATTTTGTGGAAATTGTGGTAGTCCATGATTCCAACCATATAGTGTCATTGGTATTAAAAACAAATGTTTTTTGTTTGTTTGTTTGTTGTTGTTTTGTTTTTTTCCAGAGAAAAGGTTTGGGTCATTTTTTTTTTAATTAAAAAAATTTTTTAGTATTTTTAGGCAATTGGGGTTAAGTCACTTGCCCAGGGTCACACAGCTAGTAAGTGTCAAATGTTTGGTCTGAGGCCAGATTTGAATTCAGGTCCTCCTAACTCCAGGGCAGGTGCTCTATCCATTGTGCCACCTAGCTGCTCTGGGTTGGGGTCATTTAAAGTTCCCAAATGCAACACCCATCATTCTGTTTATCTTATTAATTTTTAGATCCAGCTCATTGTCCATCTGTAATCTATAGCCAAGACATATGTACTAATTGACTGGTGTTATAAGTTAGCTGTTCACCTACATGTCATAGTTTAGATAGTACAGTTTTTTAGTTACATTTCAGCAAAAGGCAGTGGTCAGCAAGGGCCACACTTTATGCTACGCCAATGCAACTCACTTTTGACTTGCTAAATGATAGTATAAAATAAGAATATCAGTACTATCATGGTGGTCAACACCTGAACAATCAGAGCCATTAAAAAGTTGAATGGGTTGCCTCAATAAATATTAGGTATCCCCTTCTTGGAGAACTTCAAATAGAGACTATAAGACCAAGTGTCATGTATATTGTAGTGGGGATTTCTTTTGTGTGTATTGGAATGGTTGGCTGCTGAGGTCCCTTCCAGTGGTCAAATTTTATGATTTTGTGATTGTCTGAGTTAGAGGTGAGGAAGGTATGTATTCCAGGCATCAGGATAGTCAAAGTGCAAAGGATAGATCAGTGCAAAGGCATGGAGATTGGAAATAGAGTCCAAGATGTGAGGAACAAAGACAAGGCCCATTTGACTGAATCATAGAGTGCAGAAAAGGAAGTAATATATAATGAGATTAGAAAGGTAGATTGGGGTCAGGTTGTGAAGGGCTTTGAAAGACAAACAGAGTTATAGTTTAGACTAGAGACAATGTGGAGCCTCTGGAGTTTGAATAGGGAACTGACATGATCAGATCTGTGCTTAAGGAAAATGGCTTTGGCAGCTGTGTGTAAGAGAGATTTGAGTGGGAACCAAGAAAATAACATATACAATAACTATAATAATGCCAACAAAAAGAACAGTAATATAAAAATGAATGCTATGTAATTATAGTGACTGATCTTGGCCTAGTGAAGAGGGGAAGAAATATACCTCCCTCTTATTAGTAGGGAGGCATATCCTCACTTACCTCCTGTCTCCATGCCTTTGCACTGGTCATCCTCCATGCTTGAATGTACTTTTTCTTTAGCTCTGCTTCCTAGAGTCCTTCTCTTTCAAGATACAGCACAAGCATTATCTCTTACATAAAGTCTTTACTGATGTTACTTCTGGTGCCCTCTTTTATTAACTGCCCTGTATTTTATTGCCTTTTATTTATCCTCTATATATTTAAATATGTGCATGTTTTATTTGCCATTTGAATGTAAACTTCTTGAGAGGAGGAGTTATTTTGTATTTGTATCTTTAGCACGTAGCACAGGGAGTGACTCACAAAGGAGAAAAGAGCACAAAATTAGCCAGCAAAAGCAACTATGTCTCACAGAATATATGTTTTTATTTGTTTGTTTTTTTGGTTTTTGCTTTTTGGTGAAGCAGTCAGGGTTAAGTGACTTGCCCAAGGTCACATAGCTAGTTAAGTGTCAAGTGTCTGAGGGTGGATTTGAGCTCAGGTACTCCTGGCCAGAGCTCTATTCACTGTGCCACCTAGCTGTCCCAGAATATATGTTTTATTTCCATAATTCCTTGCTCCTACCATCAAAAGGCGGGAAGTGCACTTTTCCATCTATTTTTTGGCTCCAAAATCAGGCATAATTACACAGCATTCAGCTTCATCTTATTGGGTTTTTTTTTTGTTTGTTTACATTGCATTATTCTTTATATATGTTGTTTTCATGGTTCTGCTGACTTCACTCTTACCAGTTTTTCTCCTGTTTCTCTGAACTCTTGATGCTTTGTTTCTTGAGGTATTCTGTTAAATTCCTATACTATAGTTTGTTCAACCATTCTCCACTTGACAACTTTGAATCTCTGGATATCCTCTTAAGCAGTGGCTGTACCTTCTTTCCTCCCCTGACATGATACTGGTCCTAAGTGGGGAGTTGAAATACTCCTTGGTCACTATTGTCACTTCCTTTGAAATCAACTTCCAGCAGCCCTTTTTTTCTTCTAAGTCTGCTCAATCAAAATTTTTCATTCAACCCAATTTGTGGTGGTTTTAGTATACTAATGCTCTAGGTCATTCTCCCACCTTTTTCAGAGTTCACCTCCTTCCCCTCTTCCCCAACTTTTGTCTTCGTACTAGGGGAGTTTATTATTCCTACAGATGCTCCCTCAAATTTGCTAACCTCCTAATGCCGTAGCATCTTTAAGTCCTATGATCTACTCCTTCACTCTACCTTATCTATTTCCTTAATTAAAAAACTGTCATTTCTCTATCTGACCATAACCACTTGTCATCCCAGCTCTCCCTATGTATCACCCACCCTAAAGCTGTTCTTTACTCCCATTGAGACCTTCAGTTCCTTCACCCCTCCATGATAGGGAAGTAAGTCTTGTTGGGATGCGTTAGCCAACTGCCCTGGCTGGTAGCAGTCTAACCACCTTTCCTAATCCGATCACTGGAGTCCCTACATAAGTTGTAGTATATTTATCTCTATCTCTCTCCTAGAAAAGAGACTTCTCTCCTTGGCTTTGTCCTCCTGCACCCTTGCAAGCAGTCCCTTGGCAGTGTGAAAAGAGCTAGAGTGGCACAGTGGATAGAGCACAGGGCCTGGAATCAGGAAGACCTGAGTTAAAATCCAGCCTTAGCACTAACTAGCTGTGTGTCCCTGAGTAAGTTACTTAATCTATTTGCCTCAGTTTCCTTAGCTATAAAATGGAGAAAATAGCATCTACCTTGCAGAGTAGTCATGTGGATCAAATGAAACAGTATTTGTAAAGCGCTTAGCAAAGTGCCTGGCACATAGTAGGTGCTATTTAAATGCTTGTTGTCTCCCTCCTTTCTCCCCACCACCAACCCCCAGTACTTTTATGAGTAATTCATTATCCCTGGAAAAAATTCACTTTCCTCCCTCCTTAATCTCAAGTAGTTGAGATTATTTTTACTCTAAACTCTTATTTTTGAATTTCTTGCCCTCCTGTCCTGTTGATACTTACCTTTTGGCAAACCTTAGTCCTAAATGAGACCCACAATCTACCTTCTCTATTCCTACTTACAAACTACTAAATGCAGCTGGAAGAAATCTCATAATCAGGCTGACAGGGTACATTACAAATTCTTGTTATTCAATCTCAGCTGGGCTCTCTGGTGCAGCAAGCTGGTCCTTTTATTTCTCCCTAATTGATTCCCTATCTCACTCCACACAAGCTATTCCAAAGCTTATCATATCTTCTACTCCCTCTCTCAACTGGGCACCTTACTTCTTTACTTTATTGAGAATATTGAGGTCATTAAACATGAGCTCCTGCTTCCCCCCTTCTCTTTATCTCAAAATTCCTTGACATCATCTCCCTCTCTCTCTTATTTTCTCCCAGTCCCTGACAAAGAGATGTTCATTATCTATTTTCCGAGGCTAACATGCTTGATAACATACCCTTGATCTCAACCATTCCTATCCTCACCAGAAGGTTGTTTGCACAATCTCTCCCTCTCTCTCTCTGTCTCTCTTTCTCTGTCTGTCGCTCTGTTTCTGTTTCTTCCCTACAGCCTTCAAACATGATGAAATCTCCCTCATCTTTTAAAACAAAACAAAGCACTTTAGTAAACTCTGCCATTCCCTCAAGCTACCATCCTGTATCTCTCCTCCATTTCTCAGCCAAACTCTTGAAAAACTGTCTATACTCACTCCTTAGCTCTTTGCAGTCTCTCTTCTGACCTTATTCAACTGAAACTACTTTCTTCACATTTACCAATGATCTCTTAATTGCAAAATCTAAAGATCTTTTCTCAGTCTTCATCCTTCCTGATGAAGATTGGCACTTCCCCAACTTTCTTCACTGGTATAGAGAATATGAAACTAGATACTTGGAAATTCAAGTCACTGTACAAATATTAATTCAAGAAAAATAAACTCATGCTTCACTGGCACTGTTGACCACTTTTTCCTGGATACTTTCTCCTCTGGACTTTAAGGACCCTCCTCTCCACTGGTTCTTCTCCTAATTGCCTGACTGCTCTTCAGTTCCTTTGCTGGCTTGTCATACATGTTCACCAAGATTCTGTCCTAGGCCCTCTTTTCATTTTCCTTTCATGATCTTGGTAACCTCATAAACTCCCATGGATTTAACTGTCAACTTTATGCAGATGACTTATATACATTTATGCATATGTATGCATATATACACATATGCATGCACTTCCTGAAACCTGCCTTTCTTCTCAGGTCATCACATGTCTTGCTAGCCTCTCTAAGGCTGGCTATTATTCATTTTTTTTCCCCACATCTGTAGACAGAGTGGGGGCAGCTAGGTACAAAGTGGATAGAGTGCTGGGCCTGGAGTCAGGAAGACCTGAATTCAAACTTAGCCTCAGACGCTAATTGTGTGACCCTGGGCAAGTTACTTAACCCTATTTGCCTTAGTTTCCTCATCTGTAAAATGAATTGGAGAAGGAAATGGCAAACCACTCCAGTATCTTTGCCAAGAAAACCCAAAAAGGAGTCACAAAGAGTCAGACACAACTGGAAAATGACTGAACAACAAGATTAGACAGAGAGGGCCAGGAGGAAAAGTTGATGTATTTCTTGTTCCTTATTGCCATTTTCAGACATTTTCTTTGTCACTTTCACTCAACAACCACCTCTCTTCTTCAAAATTTATTCCATCCTGTCCAGATCCTTCTTCATGTCATCTGCAGATATCAGTCTTCCTTCTTCCCTACAATCTAATGATTTTAGTACTTGGCTCATAAACTCTTTATCTACTCCAACCTCATCTTGCTTTGAACACCCTTGTCTCCCTGATCTTTAAGCTCTTCAACTCCCATAATCTCTCTGTCTTTTGTCTGATTCAGCCAAATAACTTAGTGGCCTGAGGAATTTTAATTGCCATTGGCATCTAGGTAATTGTTAAACTTAGCCATATTAATTGATTTTTGAAAGAAGCTGTAATGTTGATGTTTGCTAACCTTTAGGATTATAACATTTATGGAAAAGAAAAGTATATAAGTTGAATCCCTGTCATTGAAGGACTTTTGATTTTCTAAAGTGAGAAAAGTCATTTGGAAAAGCCAAGGCATATTGAATTTCAGTTTCAGTTTTTACATAATTAAAATTCAAGATGGTGTATTATAAAATGATGGGTTGTTTCTAGAGCAAGACAACTGGTACATTCCAGGCATTTACATGAGTACATTTTTTCCGTTTGGTGGCTCTTAAATTTCATTCAGGGAAACAGCACTACCAGTTCTCTCTATAATTCTGGCAAAGGATTTGATAATGGAAATGCTTGGCAATTATAAAGGAACATTTATGCTGAATAATGACACCCATAACAGCCAAGGTTACCTTGCAAAGCCTGGAAAGAATTCCAGAAATTAGAATATTCCAACCTTGTGTGGAATAAGGGGGAGGGAGCCATTTCACTCATTCTCTGGGAATGTGATATGGGATCATTATTTCTGATGGTTTGGTCATAATGGAAATGATTCTAATTTTTGGTGTCACCACTTTTAGGAAATTTTGGCATCAGAGTTAAGTTATTTACTATCCTTTAAGTACTAAAGATGTCTAAAAAACATGCTTATATTGATAGACTGATTGCAAAGCATCTTGACCAGCATACACCCTGTGCTATGATATTCTATTCCTTATTGCCACTACAGGAGAGAAAATGGGTAGGATATAAGAGGGGTATTAGAGGTTCGTGACTCCAGATGGAGTCAAGAAGAGTCACACGTGACTGAACAACAGTAACAACAACATATGATATAGGTAATATTTGGTTTGTTTGGTTAAACTATGGGTTACTATAACTGCCAAATAAATATTTTACTTTTGATTATTGCCTTTAAGGCCAGACTAGTTTTGTGGCTGATTTAAGTTTTGGATTCCATTCTAGAACAGATTTTGGTATGTTCTTAGTACTTCTGAATGAGAATTTACAGATTCATCACAAAATGAACCGAGCATTGATGAGGACCCTATGTACAAGAAATGATCATGAGATAGGACTGGAATTGAATTAAAAATGTCAAGTTGGGGAGAATAGGGATAGTGTTTGGATCTTTCCACTAATGGTGGTTAGCTGACTCACTTATACTAGAATTATGTACAAGCCAACTTTAGTCAGTTTTTGATTCATACATTTAGTAAAATATATTAAAGATTGGGAGAGAGGCATGAGGGGGAAAAGAGGAATTTATATTATCTTTGTTTTATTGCATTTTAGTTTATTTTGTTCAATATTTCCTATTTGCATTTTAATCTGGTTCCAGCTTTGCACTGAAAGTATTGTGGGTAGTGTGTTTGATATCTTTGTTTTAGATGATTGATGGTAAATGCTTCTGTTAATTTCAGTAATGTTCATTGTGAGACTTGTTGAAATTTAGAGAAATCCTTTCCTGAGAGAGGAAAGGCTCATCCAAAAAGACTGAATGAGTCCCAAAGCAACAAGATGGAGACATAAGGTTTTGGCTTGTTGAGTTTATTTCCCTTGAATTAATATTTGTATAATGACATGCATTTACAAGTATCTAGTTTCATACTCTCTATACACTTCCTACACAAAATAACTGTAACTGTCTGTCTTTGAACTCTTATTATTGTATTAGTCACAACATATTTCTTTTTCCCCATTAGTAGCGGTCAATTCTTTTTCTTTGTCTTATTTCCTCTTGGAGTTCAAATCAACAGTTTTAGTATGTGTTTTCTTCATGTTGAAGTACAAACACAATGTATAGGCTAATGCTGCCTCTGAATCAATTCAACTTCATTTCATATGTTCCTGCGTCTGAATGGAGAATTGCTGGGAAAATGTTTTCCTTCCTGGCTCATTCTCCTACTTCTTCCCTATAAGATTTTATTTTTTATTTTGTGTTTTTATTTTTAGATAAATGACAATTTGATTCTTGATGCCTCAGATGATGAAGAGTTGAGGGAACAACTGGATATGCATTCGATTATAGTCTCCTGCATCAGTGATGAACCACTTTTCACAGCAGATCAGGTATGAAGAAAATATTTGTCAGTAAAAGTCAAAGTAAAGATTGAACATGATTTTCAACGAATTCTTTAGGAGATTAGTTGTTGGACTTCAATTATTTTCATATATTTTTAAATGTGCTTATTTCCCAAGCTAAAATTAGGAAAATAAGGTACCATGTGGGATCTTTCATATTGAAGGTCTAATTTTATAGCATTCCTGGCACTGACACTAGAATCCTAGATTATGAGTACTGCTTAGTTTTACTGAAAAGTAGATAAACTACAATAAACCTACAATGAATATTCAGTTTGATTAAACTTTGGATAAAATTCATCATCATGAGTCAGAAATATAGACTCAATGCTTTTGAAATAAGTGAATATTTTCTGTGGAATGTTACAGAATGCCGGTCCTGCTTGCATTGTGAGCCAGCTGGACAAAGCTTTTTCATTTTCTACATACTCTTCCCACTTCTGTTGTGTATCAGAATATAGTGCAAAGACTTTTTCCTGAAACCATGTTTGCCATGGTTACTGAGTATATGAATTCTACTATTCTGCCTTTTAGACCAAATAGCAGAGGTCATTGAGGGGATGACTATATCCGAGGTTCCTGAACTTATTTGGCCTACAATCCCCTTTTCAAAAAAAAAAAAAATTACTTAGTGCCTGTCTGGAAATCTACTTTCTTTAACCCTTTAACAATTTTTTGGGAAATTTGCATCATTTCAAAAAAAAATATAAATTTTTTTTAAATGACGCATCTTAAATTTAATAATTTATTGTAAATTTGTGCTTTTTTTTCCTGTCTTGAAATTTTGATGATGCAATATTGCATCATGTAACTATATAGTATCGTATTATAAACAAGTCACGACATGCACATATTCCTGCTGATGCATGCTGGACTTCTGGACAATACATGACATGCTCATCTGCCAACATTTGCTTGTTAAAACTTGTCAGTGGACTTGACTGCTGATTGGTTGTAACTTGCATTTTGTGTGTTTATTTGGAAAATAATGCAATCACTATTACTTTAACTCTGTTGCACAACAGATGAAACATGTATGAATGGTTTTTCAAAATTTTCGTCTCTTCTGTTCTTCCCTTATGCTTCCAACTTTGCCTTATTTTTTATTCATCGCCACCCTACCCTAGTTGTACCTGAGGCTACTACCACCCTCTCAATCATTCCAGTGCCCCCTAGGGGGTGGTATTGCCCACTTTGGGAACTTCTTACAGGAAAGTAGGAAGTATAATGGTTAGATGTTTTTCTTCTTCTAGGTTATCCTTACACACACTGATAATAGATGTAGGTCTGGACCTGAAAAGAAAGTGAATAATGAAAGCAAAATAATTGATAAAAGGTAATTGATTAAAAAAATACATTTATCTAATCTCACCTGAAATGGCTTTCTGGAAAACTAATAAGGATTACAGGACTAAATATGACCTTAAATTTTGTGGGTTTTTTTTGCAAATAAATTTTAAACCATTTCACAGTCTACCTTAATTTTAAGATTTTTAGAACAGCTTTCCACATCCCTTTTAAAGTAACCTGTTAGAAACTTAGCAATGCTTAATCATGGCAAAATTTCTTTGTCTAATTAATGTAATTCCTTTTGTTTCAAATTAAATTAATTTATTCCTATTTTGTCCCTTAATGGAGGTAGACGATAATATTTTATATTTTAACCTTCATAAACTTGGAGAATATTAAACTTGCCGTAGATTTCTTCCCTTCTTTTACTTCCCTTGTTTAAATAATTGCAATTCCTTGAATAGCCTTTCTACACAAATATTATTTTCTTTTTTTAATCTTTTTTTATTTTAGATTTGAATACTAAAACTTAAATACATAATAAGAAAAGAAAAAAATATATTATAAACTTAAATATTAAAACATATATAAAATAAGAAAAGAAAAAATGTCATCTGCACAGCAGAACGTAAGAGAGGATTCAAATTATAGAGCAATAAATTTCCATTTCAAGAAAGCCTGTACATTAAATACTATACATTGTGTTGAAAGCTGTCCATCTTTTTTTTTTGCTTCCATGTAGGTTTTCTTTGGTTCTCTGCTATATGCTTTTCCCCCATTAGTATTTCTTTCTAAATTTAGAAGACTTTTATACTCTTCTAAATGTATATGTATTGCGTCCTGATGAAAATCGGTTTCCAGATGTAACAGTCCTCCTCCCCCATCTAATTTCTCTGTATGGGTTCTTCTCACACCTCATTTGTATAAGATAATTACTCTTTTTAGTTGTTCCTAAATGGTTTTACTTTTTGAAGTCATATCATACTTAGGTCTACCCCAATTTTTCTTATGAACTACCTAGTTACTAATAACAATCTTAAATGTACATTTTACATTTTATATATATAAAAAGTAAATAGTCTGTCCTCATTGAGTCACTTGTAATTGGTCTTTAGTATGTACCTTATGTTTCTCTTGGCTCATGTATGTCAAATCTTCTGTTAAGTTCAGATTTTTTTTTTAACAAAATCCTAAAAGTCTGACAATTCATTAAATGTCCATTTTTTTTCCTTCAGAATTGTGCTTATTTTTGAAGAGTATGATATTTTTGGCCAGAAGCCCAGTTCTTTTGCTCTCGGATATATAGCATTCTAAGATCTGCCATCTTTTAGTGTCGCCACTGCTAGGTCTTGTGTGATTCTAATTGTGTTACCATCATATGTGACAGGGTATGGGCCCAAGCTGAGACCTTTGTCCCTTACCCCAAAAGAATTTGGATCTAATTTGTTTGAGGGGGGAATGATGGGGTACAGGGTTTGGAAACACCCTCCTTGAACTCTCCCACTTGATCAAGGAAGTCTCTAGGGTTCACCTGAGGCTATAATCCTATTAACTGGCCTTTCCTTTTAGCCTGCACCCAATCTACCAATTCTCTGTTACCGTTAATCTAACTTAGCCCTCTATTGTCTGTTACTTCTGACGGCCCCCAGCTACTTCCCACCTTTGATCCTATCTAGACCTCATTCTTGATACCCCTTCTCGCAGACCCCTCCTCCAGTCACCCCAAACTACTTGACCACTCCTAGATCCCTTCCACAGTCTTTCTGTATATAAGATCCATCTTGTCTCCATTAAGGTGCTCAGATTCTTCAAAATCTGGCCCTCTTGCATTAGTGCTACAAATGCTCAGATTCATTAAGAGAATGGCCAATATGGCAGATCTTTAATAAACTTTGTCTTTTGCTGAAAGAAGGCTTGGGTCAAATTCATTCAGGCAGGACCTGCCTGTTTTGCTCTTGATGTTTTGGGGTCCCAGCACCCCTGAACCTCAGCATTTGTAAATTGTTTTTTTTCTTCTTGCTCATAATATTTTATCCTTGAGCTGGGAGTTTAGGAATTTGACTATAATAGTCCTGTGGGTTTTCCTCATAGGATCTCTTTCCAGTGGTGATTGGTGGATTTTTTCTATTTCAATTTCCCTCTTCTAATGCTTCAGGACAATTTTCTTTAATTATTTCTTGTATTATTGTATCAAGATTCTTTTTTTTTAATCATAGCTTTCAGGTAGTCTTATGTTTTCTCTTCTTGATCTGTTCTCCAGATCAGTTGTTTTTCTTATATTTTGTTTTGTCATTTCTTGATCTCTTATAACTTTGCTGGCTTCCCCTTGCCCAATTCTGATTTTCAAGGAGTCATTTTCTTTCTTGAAATTCTAGATCTCCCTTTCTAATTGATTGACTTTCTTTTCATAATCTTCTTGTTTGTCTTGGATTTTTTTTTTTTTTAGTTTTTCCTCATTCTCTCTCATTTGATTTTTAAAGTCTTTATAAAGCTCTTCTATGAATTCTTTTTGGGCAGGTGAACATTTGACATTGGTAGAAGAGAGTTTCTTTGCTTCACTATCCTTCTCTGAAGACTAACCCCAGTCTTCTCTATTCTCATAATAACTCTTTATGGTTGGATTCTTTCTCCTTTGCCTGTGCATTTTTTTTAAATAGCTTAATTTTTATAATCCCTTCTAGTCCTGAGGTGTGGAGGATGGTGCCTCTGGCCTCAGATCCTCCTTCAGTTCTCCTCTCTGACCTTGAATCCAGACCAAGATCTCCAGCCTCTTTTAAGTGCCCACAGCCAGTGCATCATGGCCCCACTGCTTCTGCACTCAGCAGGCATTTGCTGGTTCTTTCTCATCCTAGGAGCTTCTCCACAGCACTGCAGGGTCTAGTGTTCCTTTTCAGCATCTTTCCCTCACTGTCCCAGGGGTAAAAGTTCCTATGCCTAAGGCTGAGGCAGCCTCCCTACCCAGCTAACCCCAGGGCTTGCCTTTTACAGTTTAAGTGGTCCCTAGCCTGGAGGTGTTTACTATTCACTGGGACCAATTCTTTGGATCTTCTTGATTGTCCCAGTAGGACCCCTTTTCCACCCCTACTGCTCTGTGTTTGCTCTGAGCCACTAAAAAATCTTGAGTTTGGTATTTTCTGTTGTACTGTGCCATCTTCCCAGAATCCTCTCCCCAAATGTTATTTTCTAACATCTGTATAACTTTTGTGGCTCTCCTTTGACATTTTTCTAAGTTCTTATGTCTTGCCTCAGTGGTAGACTGCAGGACAAAAATATTATATTAAGAGTTTGAGCAGAAGTGATCATGTTGGGAGCTTCATGCTTACCTTAAAATATAATAGCAAATAATTGATTTTTAAGTTTGAGTTCTGTTATGAGCTATAAATATGCTTATAAGTCTTGCAGAAAATGATTCCCAATCTTGTTTTAGTGTGTCTGCTTGAGGAAATTTATTGTGTCCCTGTGTTTTTCACATTTTATATATAATGAAAAATTTTTTTTTGCTGCTAAGGGGATAATTTGCTCCAGAGGAACTTCTATCATGTTTTATTTGAAAGGAGTTTTTTTGGTTTTTTTTTTTTGCATTCATGTTGTTGGAATACTTTAATTGTTTTTATTTGAATGAATAGCCATAGATATTTCCTTTTGTAAGATGATGGATTAGACTAGACTAAATGGTCTCTGATGAGGTGTACAGATTTAGGGGTGCTGGAACCCCGAGATCATGACACGCAGGTCCTACCTGAAAGAATTCGACCCAAACCATCTTTCAGCCAAAGACAGGGCTTATTAAGAATCTGCCTTATTGGCCAAACTCTTAAGGAATCTGAGCAGTAACTAGATTGTAAGAATCTGAGCACCTTAATGGTGACAAGGTAGACCTTATGTACAGAAAGACTGTGGGAAGGATCTTGATGGGTGTGACTGGGAGGTGGAGAATGGGGTCTAGATAGGGTCTAGGGTGGGAAGTAGTTAGGGGCCATAGGGAGGTTAGACAATGGAAGGCTAGGCTAGGTTAAGGGTAACAGAATTGGGAGATTGGATTTAGGCGATAACAAAAGGCCAGTTGATGGAACTATAGCCTCAGGGGAATGCCAGAGACCTCCTTGATCTAGTGGGAGAATTCAAGGAGAATTCCTTAGACAAATGGGACCCAAATTCCTTTTGGGGTAAGGGACAAAGGTCTCGGCTTGGGCCATATCCCATTGGTCTCTAAGATCACTTATAGCTGTAAAAATTTTAGAGTTGTCCTAAGAACTTATTGATGAATATTAAATTGTAGTATGTTGTAAATTTTGTATGTCTTAGAATTTTTTTCTTACCAGAACTTTATTAACTGTCAGCTTGGCACATGTATGCCAATGTTCATAATTATGACCTGGAGCCTATTCTAAAGTGTTCTTTGAGTTGTTGTAGAAAGATTACATTATATTTACTTTAATTTTGGTGTTAAGTGCATCTTGTTGTATTCTAATTTTTGAAAACTGGTAATCCACTAATAGCGTATATAGTTATTCTCTCTTTTTAATAAAAATAATTTTTGATTTTTGTTTTTGTCACCCCTTTTTTTCTACATATGTCTCCCTCTTTTTTATTCAGAGAGCAGTACATTTAACAAAGAATAAAAGAGAGGAAAAAAAAGCAGTTCAGCAAATCTGATAGTATGTACAGTGTTCGACACCCATAGATGCCTACTTATGCAAAGAGAGCATGGAGTTACATTTTTTCATCTCTTCCCAGGGGTCAGGCTTGGTCATTAGAATTACACAGCCTTCAGTTTCCTTTTTTGGTTTGTTTTCTATTTACGTTGTTGTATTTAGTGTGTATATTGTTTTCCTGCTTCTGCTCACTTTGTTTCTTCATCAGTTTATTTAAGTGTTCTTATGCTCCTCTGAATTCCTCATATCTTTATTTCTCTGATGCAGTAAGATTGCATTACATTCAGGAACCACAGTGGACATCTATTTTGTTTCTAGTTTTTTGTTACCACAAAAAGTGCTGCTATGAATATTTCAGTACATATGGGATTATTCTGTCTGACTTCCTCTGGGTATGGATATTTTTGTCACTCTTCTAAAGGATAATTCCAGAATTTTTTTCAGAATGGTTTGGTCAGTTCACATCTTCATAAGTAATGCTTTAGTATACTCATATTTTCACAGCCCCTCCAACCTTGACTATTCCTGTCCTTTGTCATCTTTATCAAAACAGCGTCAGTAACTGGCAGAGCGGATTGAGGGCCGGATTTGGAGTAAGGAAAACCTGAGTTCAAATCCTATTTCAGACATATTAGCTGTTTGGCTCTAGGCAGTTACTACCTCTCTCACCCTCAGTTTCTTCAAATGTAAACTGGGCCAGTAAGAGTACCTACCTCACAGAGTTGTGAGGATCAAGTTAGATAACATACATAAAGTGCTTTGTAAACCTTAAAGTCATATGTAAGTGCTAGCTACTATTCTTAATAATTTTGCTAGTTTGAGATGAAACCTCAGAGTTTTTTTGATTTGAGTTTCATTTCTTAATGATATGGGTAAGGGTGATTAGGCCTATAATTTCATTGGTACAAGGAACTCCCAGTGAGGAAATTCCTGCTACCAGTACATCTGCTCTTCCAGCACCTCGTGGTCTTAGACAACTCCTTGGAACACTGTGACTGCTCAGAGCTCAGTGACTTGACAAGGTCGCACAGTTACTACTAGTTGGCAGTTCTTTTGAGAGCTGTTTTCCCCCACATCTTTTGGCCAGTTTTCCTTTGGACAATGGTTCTTAGTCTTATATTTTTGAGTTTCCTATATGTTTTGTATTCTCAGTCAGAATATATGATTAACCATAACATTGTATATCAGTCACTGTGTTGAATAACAGAGAGTTTATTATAATTACACTTTAATCTCTCTTTAAGTACGTTATAGGAATTTTTTCTTACTTTATAGTTAATAATGCATCTTTTAATTAAATATCTTTAATAATAGCATATGAAAATAATAAATATTAATTAAAAACATCTTTTTTGAAGGTTATTGAAGAAATAGAAGAAATGATGCAAGAATCACCTGATCCAGAAGATGATGAAACCCCAACACAGTCAGATCGTCTCTCCATGCTTTCCCAGGAAATTCAAACCCTTAAGAGATCTAGTACAAGCAGTTATGAGGAGAGTAAGAAACCTTATTTAAATTTATATCTTTGAACTGTTTTTCCCTTGTCAAATAGTTTTTATAGATTTGATCTATGAGCTCTTCTATCTTTAAAAGTACTCTCCTGTCATTACTCCTGGGATATTTTAGAATCATAATTGGAATAGTTAGAATACATAAAATAATGACATAATGTAATTTAATAACTTATTAATCTGAATAGCTTCTAAACATGTATAACCAGCTTGAGATTATTTAGGTGCTGATTACCTAGAACCTCAACTAATTATTTCTATATATCTGACCTTCCAAATGGAGTAGGCAATGTTGAGAACCTTAGCTCTCTTCTTGGCTGTTTGGTTTCTTGGACAGAGGTATATTTTGAGGAATACAGGACTAAAAAATTTCATGGATAATTTTCTTTGGATTATCTTAATATCATGCTGAGTAGTGGGATCATTGTTTCTGGATATGACTCCAACATACAGATGAACTGTGATGCAATAGAGTGACTGAATTCCTCTGACTGCTCTAGTTTGGCTCGGGTTTGATAAATCATTGTTATTGTCATTTCTTCTCTGCCTGCTGTGTATTGGGGAGATGTAATGGCTGTTGGAACTGTAGAGAAAAAGCATGTAATTGGGCTTCTTTCATACAGGAGTTTCAGTGATTTCTTTTATTCTCCCATCCTTAAAAAAACACTCATGGGGAATTGAGAATTTCTGGGTACATGTAGTTAATTAGTATTTATTACCCTAAAACTGGCTTCTGTTGAATTACTTGTGGTTTCTTGTCAACAGGTATTTTCCTCAACTCTCTCCTCTTTTTGTACTTCTCAGCTGAGCTACCAGGCATGGGAAAAATTGGCTTAGACATGTAACTAATTTTTTTATATGTATCTGCATACTTGTCTGACAAGCCACCTGGCTTTTGCTAAAGACTGCCAACCAGAAATTTAAACAAGTGCCCCTTTCCCCCAGAAAAATGAACAATTATTTTAATTGTTGTTAATCACTTTTGCTTTTTGGCATAAAACACAGTATGGTTTTCTTTGGAAATCATTTTATCTTAATGTGCTGTACTTTGTGGTTGGTTACAGGGGTAAAAAGGCTCTCAGTGAGTGAATTAAATGAACTACTAGAAGAAATTGAGACTGCCATCAAAGATTACTCTGAAGAGTTGGTTCAACAGTTGGCTCTTCGAGATGAGCTAGAGTTTGAAAAGGAAGTGAAAAACAGCTTTATTTCTGTCCTTATTGAAGTTCAAAACAAACAGAAGGAACATAAAGAAACAGCAAAAAAGAAAAAGAAGCTGAAAAATAGCAGCCCACAGAATGGCAAGAATGAGAAAAGTCATATGCCTGGAACAGTAAGTGAGGTGTTTGGCCCTCATATTCATAAGGGATATTCATCTCTGACTACATATGGATTAAGTCAGTAATACTTCATGACACTCTGAAACCACAGGAGTGCTATAAGTAATAAATATGAAGGAGTTTGTTACTTTGAAACAAAAAGTAAAACCAGCTGTCACAGAGGGATGCCATAGCTGGTACAAAACCCTTTTTTCTTAGTGAGATTATCAACTGGAGAACCCAACATAGAGAAGTTAAGATAGGAATGAGTGAGAGTGGTGAGAAGGAAGGAGAATCCAAGAAGCATCATTAGGGAGGTAGCACATTTTTTAAAATCTAAAAAATGCACAATTGTTTCATAATTTCAGTTAGTCTTTATACTTAAAATGTATTATGAGGCAGCATTTGCTAGTGGAAATGATTTCACTTGAAGAGATCCCACATAACACACTTGGTAAATCAGTTTAGTTCTCTCACAGTGGAAAAAGGTTGAGAGTTGCTGGCACCATTAACACCTGAGCCTTTTTCCTAGCTCTTCTGTGTTTCTGGAGCAGTCCTGCAGTTTCCTTTGATGAGACTGCAGTCTGTCTTTCCTTAAGTAGTTGTTCTTATTATCCGTACCCCTGCTCCACTTTGACTGTGTCTACTCCTGGAACCATTTTGAGATACTCCAATACACTCACTAGCATTGTCTGTTATATGTCAAGAAGAACCAACTTTGCTTTGAGAGTAAAAATGCTTGCTTGAGGACCAACCAGCTCTTCTAAAGTGAACTGGCCTTTTTATTTCATTGCTGAATGTGACTAGAATAAAAGGCAAAGATAAAGTTATAAAGCAGTTAAACGGTTTGCTACAATGTAAATTATAGATCCTTCTAAATTATGAGGGGTTCCTTTCCTCAAGTGCAGTTACTAAACCAGCATTTCTCAAACTCTGTTCAGTAGATATTTGGTGTTTCATGTGGTGTGAATAGGGTTCCATTAGAAAATTTCTGTGCTGGCAATATTTTCCCATATTTCTCCTGTAAAATAATAACCGAGAAATTATGTCTGTATCCAAAAATGCTTTTTCTGTATATCAGTTTTGGGAGTATGAAAATAGGCTATTTGTTCCTTTGTTTCATGCATGTTATTTTTTCCTTTGTTTCATGAACAAATTTTCCTGACCTTTCATCCTGAGAATATTTCATACGCCCCAAGATGATCTAGATTTGTATTTATGCATTCCATTGCTATATTCCCAGTCCCACAAATGTTCTGAGACTCAATTAGTTTAGGTAGGAAGTACTGTGGTAGACAAATACAAATCATTGACTAGACTGAAGTTGAGTGAGTCCTGGAGAGGGAATGCAATTCTTGAGTTACTGTGCTGCCACAGAGATGTTAATCCAAACAAAAGTATCACATCACCTAAAATACTGTGCTATTATTGGTCTCAGTACAAGGTGGTCTCTATTTGCAGGGATATTTTCAAGCAAAAATAGAAATTGACAAAGAGAATCTAGCAGCACAGTTTGTATATTTAAAGAGGGAATATTACTTAACATGTCTAGCTTTCTTGCTTTCTTACAGAAATGCTTTGTTTTCTAGATTCCTTCAGAATGCATACATACCCACAACTTTATCTATAAAGAATATAGCTATATAAGAATAGGAAAGAATGGATGGGGAAGTAGGTTGTGGGCAGCAAAGATGGATACAATTGTTTTCTAGTTTTTTGAATCAACAGAGGTGATAGTGTAGGTACTACTACTTAAATCATGTGATTCACTGATTTAAATGCCAGATCTTAAATTGGTTTGTTTTTCCATGTAGTGTAGTTTTATGCCTAGACACATTTAGACAGAGACAGGAAGACAGGACCTGGGACTGATTTTTCTTGTGTGACTCATAAACTGGCACTGAAGGCATTTCCAAAAGAGGAGTTCCAAAAATATTTTGAGCAATGATAGTACTGTTAATACAAGGGTTTAGCCCCACTTCCCTTCTATTGCACTGCACCTTTCCCCCATGACTACATTGAAGAAAAATACTACTTTGGAAATTTGGCTACATCTTTTGTTATATATTGAAAGAAACAAATCACTTATTACTTTATATTCGTACCACACATAGTTTAAAAATTTCTTCCTTCAAATAAGCTTCTCTGTTACAGGATAAAATTTACTTTTCATTTTAAAAAACATGGTAAATAATACAGGAATGGCTTTTTTTTTTTTTAAGATGAGGCAAGGCAAATAAGAATGCTTTTCAAAGAAACAAAATTTTGTCCTTAGATCAGTTCCTAGACATCTTTGGATTTCAGCTTCATGGTATATCAAGGATTGGTTAAAATTGGAGCCATTAGGTAACTCTGCTTCATGTCATTTATGCTAAAAAGTTGATTTGATAAAGGAACACTAATTGTGATTTGATTTTCTGTAGTGAAACAGACTTAGAATGATTGTGAACTTCTTAGGTGATTCAGTCTTGTGAAATTGCTCTTTAAAATCTTGCTTTGCTGTTAGTGTCAAAACCTCTGGTTAGATGTAAGGACATGGCATAGATATTAGTGCTTACTTCTTACATTTTTCTAAGATATTAAATGTGAAGAGTATGGTTTATACTTGAAACCTATGATTCCAGAAATGGTAATAGGTGGTTTATTAAACTCTGGCTATTTTTTTCATGAATTGAAGTTGCTATTTGTACAATTGGGTTCTAGAAAATGATTAACCTTCTTATCTGTTCATTTAGTAGGTTTGAGGTGTGAATTACCTTTTATAAGTATAGTATTTTCTCAGAAATGTTGATACTTATCCACATCAAAACTCAATGTTGATTTTGTACTATTGGAGCTTGTATTTAGTATTTCTTAGGATAGTTCCAAATAGTATTCATATTTCCTTTATTATTTGCTATTCTTATGTTTCATATAGTCATATTTTTCTTTTAACTTTGGATTTTTTTCCTCACACTATTGGGATCTATATTTATTTTCTTAAGATTATGAATAACAATCATTGTAATGAAAAAACAATTTCAAGTATCTTTCCATGATAATGCCTCATAGAGTAGCTTGTGCTGGTTTGTTTATAAGTTATATCTTTGTTTAGTCCAGGGATGCTGAACTACTTCAAGAAACTGAGAACCAAGGGGGTTAAGTGATTTGCGAAGGTCAGAAAAGGTAGTAAGTATCAGTGGTGAGGCTTGATCCTGGGTCCTGTGACCCAGGAGCACATCAGTCATAGCTAACCCATAAGCATATTCTTCTACTCATACAAAACCTTTACAGAATTATCTGTATTCAAATCAAGAGCATCCTTGATGTGGATATGAGCAGAAAACAATCAGTCTTTTACTAAGCAACTTTTAATCACGTACCGTATCTTTGACATTTCACAAGTAATTGAAAGATAAAAAGAATATAAAATCTGATCTGTGTATTGTTTGTTTGATTATAAAAAAAAATTGATTTGGGAGAACAAAATGCTGCCTTATAGTGAGGTTGTCTCTCATCCATATATCAAGACTGTTCAGGATTCCTTGGAAGATGTGACAACAGAAAAAACTCTGGTTAGTAAATGACTTTGGAAATTAGCTTTTCCTCTATATTTGATGTTATTTCTTAATGAATTCAACCTAAAATTATAAGGCAAAACAGCACTTTTATGGGAAACTGATACTACAGTAAATTGATGAAAATTAACAGTTGAATCATAGCTAATGTCTAGCTGCTTTATACAATTCTTGTGCTGTCAAAAGTTAAAACAAGAAGTGAGATCTCCATTTCTATCCAAATTTGCAGTAGATAACTTTTCTAAGCTCAAACTAGTTCCAGCAGCACTTTTTGAATCTTGATGTAAGTGCAATAGAAATGTCTACATCTCAAAATTCATTTAACTGCTATTGAGGAGCTTCAACCTTATCTTCAATTGGAAGTGATTATTCTTTAATGTCAATATGCTAAAAGGCAAATCTCAAGAAAAAAATCTACTAGAATGCTATAAATGCCTTTTAAGAGATGAATATTCTCAATTAAAATCATGCTTGTGCATTGATATCAGTATTTGGCAGTACCTGTCTGTGTGAAAAAACATTTTCAAAGATAAAATAGGTAAAATCTTATTACACAATAGCATTAACAGATGAACATTTGCAGTCTATTTTGGTGATAGGGAAGACTAACTTTGAACCTCAATTAAGTGAAATGTTTATTCCCCCAAAAAAAGAATAACATTCTTCTCATTAGTAGGCCTGCATTATAAAAAAAAATGCCCTCTGTTAGTATCATATTTTTAATTTTGTTGATAAAAATTTGTGGAAATTTGTTTTCTTTCTTGTTATGTAACTGCATAAAATACTTGATTTTGTCTTTTGGCCTGCAAAGTCTAAAATTTTGTTATCTGACCCTTTTCAGGAAAAAATTTACTGACCTCAGCCCTAGAATATCTGAGATCTTTACCTTGGATAGAAAGAGTTGGGTTTAGATTTCACTTCTGGCGCTGCCTGTGTGACCATGGGCAAATCATTGACTTTTCTCATCTGTAAAATGGGAATAATAATATCACCTACTTTAATAGGTAATCTAAAGCTAAAATGTACATAATATGCTTTGTAAACTTTAAAGTGCTATAAATGTCTGTTATTTTTATTATTTAGAGCAATATTTTATGAGAACCTACCAATCCCAACATCAAAAGCAAGAAGCAGTCATTACCATAAAAAAGATTTAAATTCTCCTAATAGTTCTGATACATTTGAAAAAATATGATTGTTTTATTAAAGTATTCATCAGTATGCTGGTATGTAAATTATAGGTACTCTACATTACTAAAATGTATTAAATATTTAAATAGAGAGTAACTTGTGAATGTATCTTTCATAAAGTACTTCTCACCAGATGAATTATAAGATCATAGATTTAGAATTGGAAGGGCTTTTAAAGGTCATCTAGTTCAATTTCCTTATTTTATGGGCTGTTGAAACTGAGGACTTGCCTCAGGATCACACAGAAGTTGGCAGAGGTGGGATTT